TTTGCGGTTGTGAAGGCTATAGATGAGTATAAATGGGTTACACCGACATTTGCGGTTGTGAAGGCTATAGATGAGTGTCAATGGGTTCCACCGACATTTGCGGTTGTGGAGGCTATAGATGAGTGTAATTGGGTTGCACCGACATTTGTGGTTGTGAAGGCTATAGAGGAGTGTAAATGGGTTACACCGACATTTGTGGCTGTGAAGGCTATAGATGAGTGTAAAATGGGTTGCACCGCATTTGTGGTTGTGAAGGCTATAGATGAGTGTCAATGGGTTCCAATCGGCTCTGCGGTTGTGAAGGCTATAGATGAAAGAGCAATGGGTTGCACCGACATTTGCGGTTGTGAAGGCTATAGATGAGTGTAAATGGGTTGCACCGACATTTGTGTTGTGGAGTGCTATAGATGAGTATAAAGGGTTGCACCGCATTTGTGGTTGTGAAGGCTATAGATACGGTTGCACCGACATTTGCGGTTGTGGAGGCTATAGATGAGTATCAATGGGTTACACCGACATTTGCGGGGGTTGTGAAGGCTATAGATGAGTGTCAATGGGTTCCACCGACATTTGGTGGCTGTGAAGGCTATAGATGAGTGTCAATGGGTTACACTTGACATTTGGTGGTTGTGAAGGCTATAGATGAGTGTACACTGTCAATGGGTTCCACCGACATTTGTGGTTGTGGAGGCTATAGATGAGTTTCAATGGGTGAAACCGACATTTGCGGTTGTGAAGGCTATAGATGAGTATAAATGGGTTCCACCGACATTTGCGGTTGTGAAGGCTATAGATGAGTATAAATGGGTTGCACCGACATTTGTGGTTGTGGAGGCTATAGATGAGTATAAATGGGTTCTAGCACGATGGAAAGTGGTCATGACAAATGCAACAGTGTTAAGCAAGCAGAGGGCATATCTGCACTCCCAGCACCCCGATGCGTTCGGTAATGGGTTGTGCCTATGGCACCGGCCCATTTGGTCGCCCATGGAAGTGTAAAGGCACGCTTTGATTCCAATCTTGATATGGAACAACTCTCAAGTGATGACGTGGCAATGATGGGTTCTGCGACAGCGCCTCGTGCCTCAGTCCAGCATACGCCGCGGATGCTCCACCGGATGCGTTCTTTTCCTGGGTTGGGATCATCATGTGCGGATCACGCCCTCTCCACTCGTTGAGAGTAACCTGCCTCGCCAGTTCATTCTCCTGTATTCTATAGATTTTAGCTGACCGCCATTTTGCGCTGAGACAATGTTCACAATCTGTTGCGTCCAGCCAGCTGATCTGCCATGCTGGCGTGTACCTCCTCTAGATGCGATTCAGAATGTATTCCGGGTCAACGCTGTGCAAAATCAATAGCTCCTCTAAACTTGAGTATAACCTGACCCCGAGCCATCGAATTGTAAGCAATGCGAAACTGATCCAAGCGCTACTTTCTTTCTAAAGAGTCTATCTGGAACCCTCGTCATGTTTCTCAAGGTCGGTGCACCAATGTGCCACGGGCGTTTTACTATAGACCAGTACAGCACATCGGCAGAGTTTTGCCTCTACTCAGCTCTTTTATAGCTCGTCTTGTAATCTTGCGCGGATGCTGTTGCTCGAAGTTTAATTGCTCGAGCTAAGTGGGCATGGGCCACTTAAACATAAGCTTTGTCGATTGATGATTCTTCCGTGCCATTTGCTCCGGAGATTGTAGTGACCTTGACATGTGACAGGTACCTACCCACCTCCGATCCAGCACAGCGTAAGGCTATAACCGACAGGTGCCTCTCCACGTCTTCCCGGATTTTGAATCTTTGCTATCCTTGTTTTCCTTTTCAAGTGCCAGGGCTATTCTTTCTGTGTGAGCATTTTGCCTGCCGAGCCTAGTTGATAATTCCCCCGACATCGCGGCCCTTAGAGAAGCCAAGTCCCGGTGGATCTGTTAGTGCACTTCCTGTGGTGCTCGTGCCAGGTTTTTCGAGTATCGTGGACTCGCAAAGAAAAATCTTTGGACGAAGTATGGCGCAGTTGAGCATTGGGCAAAGGTGGAGCTTCCCGATGGCATGCAGGTTCAGTCCCGCGCATCTCACAAATTTTTATCCACCAAAGATCATGCCATGCAAAATCATCACAAGAATGTCAATAAAATGGCATGAGTGATGGATCTTCTAGCACGACAGGCAGCATTGGTGTCACTAAAATTTAGCAACGGGACATTTGTCTAGCAAGCTTATCATAATCATGCAGCATGCACAATTTTCACGCATTGGATTCCTTCCAACTTCCTACAGTAGCATGCGTGGAGAGCCTTGACAGTAAGCAACATGCAATGTTGCTCGATGAAACGGGTGCACTATCTGCACTACCGATGTCCATGACTCTTTGTCAACAGGGACGCAAAGATCTGGCCGCAAGTATTGCACACCGCTTTCCGGCAAAGGATTTTATGGCTGCAAGAAAAGCTTTGGACCCAAAAAACATACTAGGCAACGAGAAAGTGGATGTACTTTTCCCTGTATCCGCTTGATGCGAAGGGCACCGCCCATTGTGGATTAGTGAACGAAATGTCTAAACGTCGAATGCTGGCGTATGTAAGTGTATTAATTCTCTATTGCCTGTGCAGGAAATAACCCTAAAACCCACTACAAGATGCCCAAAAATATTCATATTTTCCGTTACTTGAGGGACATCTTCCCAAACTTAAGCGCATTCGGGGTGATTCTCCTCTATGTACAACGATATATGGCTATATGATAGAAGGGCTCTGCTCCCTTGTAAATTAAGCCCACTTATACTTATAACATGAGTTTGTCTTTTCTTTCTATGCTATATGATGCTCGACGACCATCATGGATTGTTAAGGAATCATAATATGCTCCACGTGATATGTCTTTGTTTGTCCACGTATGATGAAGGTATTTGGACGCGGTAGTAGCGTCTTCGTCACAATTTCACAAGGTGTCAACCTGCGAGCGTAGGTGCCATGCGCCGCCGTACGGCGATTTAGGCATCTAATGCAACGGGGCGGAATTGCTCTGAAACCTCTCGACGATCGCTCAACATTAAATTCCAATCATTCGATTGCGATCACAGACTCAAAAAGAAATCGCGGCAGTCCGATCACGCTTATTTCTCGTTTCCGCATGACACACTTAACTCTGCCGAGCGGTTTTAGAGTGTTAAGCGCTGCCTAGCAGTGAGTTAATCACGCACAAATTAGTAAACATGAGCGTAATTTTCTCATTATCATCTCAAATAGGTCAGACTACAGTAGTGGGTTTAAACGTCTGGAGACCAAGCGCGGCTTCATTAGCCGAAGATTCGCTAACGCCATTCCCGCGGTGTGCTTGGGGCCAAGCGGACCGCGGGATGCCATACCGCGTCATAGCTTGCGTGTTTGAACACGCAAGTTATGTCAACTTACTAACTTAAGTTAAAGTATCATAAAACGGTGTGCTAGGTAAGCTTATTTGAGCGCGAAATGTTCAGATGGCGGGCGGTGACCCGTGATCGGAACCGGCGGATCTATGTCTTGTATATGGGAAGAAACCCTATCTAGTAGTTGCATGTGGTCGGTTGAAGCAGTGGAAGCGTGGTGGGCCCATAACCTGCTGGATATTATACTGTGAGGGTAATAATATACCAAGCGGACAGAGGGTCTATGCAAGCAACTTCAGGCAAAAGCAGGCTACATACTCAGATATTGTGATATTAGAAGGAGAAAGATCTACAAACTGGCAAGCTAAATAGCACGTGAGTTGTTGGTCACGACTGGACTCCGAATCTGGCAACGGAGATGACTGGTGACGAAATGACTGTCACCATGTCATATCCAGCAAAACACAGCGTGGGGAATAGCGTGACTCCACGTTCAACCGCATCTAATGTATATTGAATCTTACTTAGAAAAAGTAGCTTTCCGCAAATCTGTTTCTAATTCGTTCCAGCCAATTCGCCACGCTGAAATTTTAGCCTTTGATCAGCCCAACTAGGGGGCGCTGACCCCGGTGTCAAAAATATTGTTGACACGTGGCAAACTGCAACCCCGGAAAGTTTACGGTATCTGACGGTCTGAGATATGGTCCATCGGTTTCCCGTAAATACTGGATCCTCGGATCCACGAAATCATTTTATCGGTCGGGGTTTCGGACTGTATAATCACCATATGACATGACAGCAATTCCACCCCACTAAACATGGGCTTAAATCACCGTACGCCGCGCCACGACGCCACTCGTCGAGTGGATGAAGAGCGTGACGAATCGCGCCAAGACCCCCTCCGCCCTTTAGCCCCCCGCCCGCAGCCGCACCTGCCGACACCAGACACGTTGTGAGGACGCGAAGGGGAATAATGGCGAGGCCGGCGGGGGCGCCGGACGGCTGGGAGAAAGGCGCAAAACACATCGACACGAGGGGTTCCTGTGTCGTCCCTGACCAGAGTACTGATCTCACTTAACGGTGCATGCCTTCCTTGTGCTGATGAGAACAGGTATTTTCACCGTGGTATGATCGATGCATGACGAAGGCCCTCTCCGGGTACCGGTACATGTCACCGTCATTGTCTCCCTGAGCGTGACGTCCCCCCCCGCCGCGCACTTCGTGGTGGCGGCGGTGCCTCCAGCTGCCCGGTTGCCTGTTGCCCACCGCCTGCGACGACCGTGTCACGGCTGCGTCGCATTCCGATCGCCAGGGCGCGCGCGCCAGCGGCGCCGACCACTCGTCGAGTGGATGAAGAAGCGTGGCGGATCTGCGCCGAAGACCCCCCTTCCCCCTCCGCCCGCCCGACGCCCCCCTCCGCCCCGCATCCGCACCGCACATCCGACACGGTGTGAGGGCGCGAAGGGGAATAAGGGCGAGGCCGGCGGGGCGGGCACCGGACGGCTGGGAGAAAAGTGCAAAACACATCGATACGAGGGGATCTCGTGTCGTCCCCGACCAGAGTACTAATCTCACTCGACGGTGCTTGACTTGTGTGCTGATGGGAACGGGTATTTTCACCGTGGTATGATCGAACCTCTGCTCGTTATGGTTTGGAACCCGACCAAAGTTACCTTACCTTACATACGCACCACCTTAATCAGCAACAAAGCGCGAATCCCAACGGGCGGCGATGACGACCGAAGCTCCATCCGACGATCGCCAAAGGCAATGCAAATAAATGGCTGACGATGGCCGACGGAAATTTAGAACATCGCGAGTTCGCGACGCCACCGCCACCGCCACCGCCATCAGCATCGGCATCGGCATCGGCAAGTTGCCCGAACTACGGGGGGGGGGCAACTTCAATGGCCATATTCAATAGTGCCGGAAACAATTAGGGAACTTTACACGTAAAATCGACACCTGTAAGAATTTGCACAGACCAACAAAGATAAAAGGAAGGCAAGGGGTATAAACTAAGGGGATGACACGCCCAGTATGTAACGCGGCGGCCACAAGACGTAGGCGCCCACAGCCGTTCGTATCACCTCTTATTGCAAAACAATTCCGATGCACCGTTAGATCACGCTCGAATGCCATTTTCCTCGCTTCTCAGCGCTTTGAATGTTTTCAGAATCGCTTCCAAAAATTGAAAAAATCGGTTCTCGGCGGAAAGTGCATACTGCTCTTTCCTGCTGCGATATCGTTGCAATATGTATACTTGAAATATGCATATTGCAATACTATCCATCAGCACGTTGCCCTTAACTCTGCTGGATGTGATACTGTGACCACCAACTGTCACATGTCACCTCCTTTCATTGGTAGGCTGGGTGACCGTCACCCGGAGGTACGAAAACCCAGTCAGGTATTTATGTAGACTTCACTTTTATATCAACGCACTTTGCCGTTCTGATCTCCGAAACCCCTATCTCAAGGTTTAACAACTTATATATATATATATATATCACCGCTCCGTTATATATCTAGCAGGTTTGGACCCACTTTACGCTTTCTTTAGCCACTGCGAGACTGCCACTATGAGTGGCTAAGTCCGGACGCCTGGGATGGAGTGATGCGCTCCGTTCGTGGGAGCATCGGCAGTGACGGGTATGGCCTAATTGTGATGAGTTGATTTGGAGTACGCCACGGTACCTTGGGAAGCAATTTTTACGGGGTTTTACGTTGGACTGGTTTACGCTTCCTGGTTGGATCCCACACCGTTACGTATTGGCCGCCTCTATCTACCACACGACTCCCTTGACTTCTGCGATTTCTTACGGCTGCTGTATCGACGACCCTAAGCGTTTCTTGACCGTCCCTCACTGTCACCGCTCTCGCTCGCATTGCCTCACTCCGCTCCTACAGTCCTCCCTCACGATCACGTGGTTGCAGTTACTAGATCCACCTCCAGCATGGCGTCACGCCGACGCGCATTAGCGACGATTTTTTATTCAGCGGATGTGCGACATGCGAAAACGCCGCACACGCCCATGGCGCCTGCACCGGCAGCCAACTCGGCGGGAGGTACATTTCTTGCAGCTGTCCGCACCCTACAAAGGGAACATTTCGACGTCAAGGTCTACAATGCCGTCCAACGGAAGCTATTCGAGTCCAAGGAAGACATATTTTCTGGAAACGAGTCCCACGCACCCGCGCTCTTCACCAGGCTGGTGTCCGCGCTGCGGACTTCGTTTGTCACCGGGGACATCATTGGCTCTACTGCCCTCTTCAGGCTGGAGGACGCGACCTTGCCCGTTCGAGTGGAGGCGAGCGATCTATGCTCGAGCTTCTGGTTCGCCCGACGTCACCCGCAGCAGACTGAATGGATTCCTCGAACTCCACTTTCCCGTCGGACGGAAAGCGGGTTCTATTGGAGTTCGCACGACGCATGCTGCCCTCCGATGCGCCCTTTCAGGGACAGTCCGACATGCTAGGGGTTCGTGTTCTCGCGAACGTGGATCCCCATGATGCTATTAGCGACTTCAACGCCGCGCTGAAGGCCGCACGGACGAGGTCAACACTGGACGATGAAGACGTGAAAGAAAAAGAAAAAAGAAAAAATGTGACTCTTCCTACTGGAAGCGTGATATTTGAAGGTGCACAGCTGTTACGCCTGCCCCTAGTCACGTGCACAATCAAGGCGGCTTCTTGCTGTTTTTTAGAGCCTTCTCCTTCTCCGACCTGCTGTGTGAAATCAACATCTTGGCAGCCCATTCCACCGCGATGCTACTGATTTTCTTGAGGAGGGCCTCCGCTTCCTTCTTCTTGAAGCCGAGGTGTTGCGTGAGAGCCCTTGCGTTGTGTTCATATACCGACCCCGTGGTTCCGAAAACCATCGGGTGAAAGAACACTTTATAGCCTTTGGATCTGAGTAACTCCATAAGGGGCTCATACTTGTTGAGTTTATCGTGAAGGGACACATACCAGCGAGTGTCCCACGTGAAGGCCACCTCTATGAGGTGGATTTCTCCCACATCCTCCCTGTGGGTGTTTTCCGGCCTGCCTGGGGGGGTGTCCCTGACGTCCTCTGCACCCTTGATCATGACAATATCCACAAAGTGTGGTATGTCGTCTGGGGGGTCCTTCGCCCCCGGGTGGTCCCTTCCGTCCCTACGGCACTGACCCCTTTTGAGAACGAAGTCCGGTATTGGGCGGGTACATTTGTTAGTCCCGTCGAGCCCAGCGTGGTGCGCGATCCAGATCGGACTGGCGCCCGTTCGTCCCTTCCTGATCGCTTCGTAAAGGGTCCTTGCCACTTCGTTGTGCCTGGCCGTGGCCATGTTCATGCTGGTCTCGTCTTTGCATCCAGCCAGCCTGTGTGCCGGAGTGTCCCTCCTCCCGCAGAGGGCGCAGTCCGGGACCGGATATTTGTTCGGCCATATGAGGTGCTTTCTGGCAGTCGTCATGAGGACCCCAAACCGGCATCTTAGAATCAGGGACCTGAGCGTCGGTGGAGTAACCTTCCAGAAGTGATTGGATATTCCTGGTATCGACTTGTCCTGGAGAATTTCCCGCGGGGGCTCCTCCAATCTTCTTCCCATGTGTGTCTCGACTGCGGCAGCGTCTGCGTGGCTTGTGGCGGCCCTGTCTCCGTTTCTCCGGTGCATGGCCTCCCGGTCCCTGTTTCTCTTTCTTCTTCTCTCTGGGGCCGCCTCCTGGTAGGCGTCTATCGCTTGTTGTGGAACGTCCGTCAGGTTCTGGAGTTCCGACTCTCCCAGGTCCATCTCCATCACCGAGCGGCGCAGACCGTCAATTGGGTCCTCACGTTCTGCCTCCTCTATCGCTTGCATCATCTCTCTGTCTGGCGAGTTCATGGCCCCCCTCTCGTCCATGTCCAGAGGCGGCCCCCGCGTCTCATCGAATTCCCAGAGTAGGTCCCACTCGTCCTGAGTGGTCACTTGATCCCGCGGGTGTACCTGTTCCTGGTCGCCCGGCTCCCGTCGCGCCGGCGGGTCGCCCTGGCTCCAGGGAGCGTGCTGGAGTTCCTCCAGGAGCATCGGCTCCTGGAGATTCTCCCCTGGTGTCCCCATTTCCACGTTCTGTTGGCCCCGGTCGGGGCCTTGGGCTGGCCCTGGGGCGCCGGTCGTGGGGTTCTCCGTCGTAGAGCCCTCTACTGAGAGAGCTCCCTCCCGATTTCCCCTGCCGGGTGTTCCCCATTCTTCCCACGGGCTGCTCGGGGGCTGTAGCCATTTTCTCACTGACCTGTGCTGTGTCGCTTTTAGTGCAATCCTTTCTGCCACATACCTTTCCACCGCCCCCTCCCCTTGCAGGGGCCTCATCGATTCACCATCTCGGGCATTGGCCACGAGCGTGTACATGGTCCTGTTGTCCCATGGGTCAATTTGGGTGGTGCCCTCCTGGTTTTCTGCTGCCTGTTTGGCCGCCTCATCTGCCTTGTCGTTGCCCTTCACCCCCGTGTGGCTTTTGACCTTCCTGAGTGAGACCTTCGTTCCCTGGCTGTTATGCTGTTCGACCAGGGAGAGTATATCCTCAAGCAAATCCCTGTGTCTATGGCCCTCCATCGTGTGGGGTCTGGATAACATGTTGAGTATTTGGTACATACTGCAGAGGCTGTCCGTGCAGATTGCTATCTCGCCCGGTGTTGTGCATTCTCTGGCCCCGAGTGCCGCGTGGATCGCCAGGAGTTCCGCCCTGTTGATGGTGAGGTGTCCACCCGTCGACCACGTGCCCCTCCAAGTTCTGGGGTTTTCATCCCCTCTGGGGTCCCAGTAGGCCGCTCCCACTCTATGTAACCCCCCTTCTTCCTCTGGGTCCAGTCGCGATCCATCCGTATAGAGGAACGAGGTTGCATCCCAGGCTTTGTTGATTTCCTCTAGGGTTCTGGAACGTCCGGTTTTGTGCTTAATGGGACACGTGGGGAACCTCTCCCTTACTTCCGTGTGTCCCCTGTCCCTGTCTTGTCTGCTGAAGAGCATGGGAGTGCGCTCCATTGCCTTTAGCCATCTGGCCCTCGAGTCCTCTTTGATCTTGTCCAAAGGCCATGCCGTGTTCGCCGCATGGTACTCCGTGATCGTGACCTCGGCGAGTCCTCTGTCGCGCCATGTTTGTCTCATGGCCCTCGCCGCCTCCGGGGTGCGGTCTTCCTTGGGGACCTCACCCCCTTCGTTCCCCCATCCCTGTCTGCGCGACATGCTCGGTATTTCCCATTTTCTCATCGGGTGAGGGTCGAAGATCATGTCGTATTGACTAGCGTTCTCCATCGCATTTTTAACCGCCGCCATGTCTGACACTGCATCCGAGGTGTGGACCCTCGGGTTGGCCGGCCTGAGGTTCCGAATCGTGTGGTACTTACGGACCGTGCAGTACGTGCTGCGCTGCAGGGCCTTCCCGACTAGTTCCGCTGCCCCTTCTGGGTCCGGGCAGAATTTTTGCCATCCTTCTGCGTTGGCAACAACTAGGATCCTAACTCCCCAGTTGCTGTAGTCCTTCTTCGTGACGCCTGATACTGTGGTGCCTCCCCAGTGGTCTGGGGGAAGGAACGTAAAGCTTTTTCTTGGGATCACCCCAAATTCATGTATTCTAGTATCTCCATACCTCCTGCAGTATGCCTTGGCTGGCGTTCTCGTCCAGGC